GTCCTCCAGGAAGGCCCGAAGAGGCCAAAATCATCCATTGGCCTTAGGTTGTTGAAGGATTTTGGCATGTGTTTCTTTCGGCCTTCCGACGGCCCGAGACGGCCCAAGAGCCCCCAAAGATCGCCCCAAAGATCGCCCAAGAGGCCTCCAGGATGGCCCCAGAACGGCCCAAGAGGCCTCCAAGACACCCAAAGATGGCCTCCAAGACGGCCCTGGAGCACCCCAAGAGGGCCCCAAGTCGGCCCAGAGAGGCCCCAAGACAGCATCCGACGGCGCCAGAAGGGCCAGGAATGCCCTGAGACGGCCAAAGAGGCCCCCGAAAACCCCCCAAAGGCCCCCAATAGGCACAAGGACGCCCCCAAGATGCCTCCAAGAAACTCCCAGGAAGCTCCCAGAGGCTCCCAAGAGTGCCTGATCTCCTCCGCCATCCTCCCCCAAGTATTCCCCGAAGGGTTTCCACAACGGCTGGGGGAACACATGGTCCGATAGCTTACCAGAGCTCTTGCCATAACACTCGGCCACGTGGGCGATTCCAACAGGCAGGGGGCGGCGGTGATTTGGCGTCTTCGATAGAGGTGGCACGGTGTTGTGCCTCTGCTCCGATCTCGAGGTGTTCTTCGAGCCGTTCTGGTAGATTCGTCGACCTGCCTTCGGGCGCTCCTCGGCTCCCTCGCTGCCTTCCCGCGGCCTCCTAAGCCCCCCTTCAGGGTCGGCGGAACCGACCGCAGGGCCTCTCCAGAATGGGCCGGCGTCCCCGAGGTCGCATCCCTCGTAAAAAAATGCTCGCGCGTCCACACCCACGACCACTTGGAAGAACTGCGGGCCCGCACCCCCGGAGCCACGGCCCTTCGCACAAACTATGAGCCCGCGCTCTCGAGGCCACCACCTCTTGCAAGAGGGCCCCCCCTCCTTCAGGCCACGACCCCTCGCACGCAAGGACAACGGATCCGCGCTCCCAGAGCCACGATCCCACATGAAAGCGATTGATCCGCGCTCCCAGGGCCGCGATCCGTTATAGTTCTGCGCTCCCTGGCCCACGGCTCCTCGTGGAAAGAAAAGCTGGGTCTGCAGTCCCAGAACCACAAGCTATTGCGCATGAGTACGGGCCCGCGCGCTCCCGAGGACACAATCCCTCGCTCCCGAGGCCCTGAGTTCTGGCACTAAAACACGTGGATCGCAACCCCGAGTCTTTTGTAAAAAAGGCGTGCCCTGGTGCTTGAGGTTACGAAAACTTGAAAAACCAAATCCCGCCAGCCCACTGGGGCGTGGGTGGTCTACCGAGATTCTCCCCTCTTACAAAACCCTTTTCCCATCGGTGAGGGGCACCCTCCCCCCCCATCCCTGAGATTTCTTGGGGCGGCACAGAGTGTCAGGGTGGCCTCTTTCGCCCAAGATGTCTCCAAGAGGGCCCCCGATGCTCCAAGATGGCCCCCAAGACGGCTCAAGATAGCCGAAGATGAATCAAGATAGTTTCCGACATGCCCCCAAGAGGCTCAAGATGTCCACAGGACGGCTCCAAGTGCTCTGGGAGCCCATTCAGGATTTCCCCAAGAGGCAAAATCCTTCAACAACCCCAGGAAATTTAATGATAGTCGCCTTCTCGCTTTATCGTTTCCGATGCCGTTGCCAGGCCTGAGTACGGCCCCAGGGTGGCCCAAGAACGCCTCAAGAGGGCCCCAAGCGATGTTGATGGCCCGGAGGGGGTGGGGGAGGGACCCCCCCTCTTTTGAACGACGCCCTCCAAGATGGCCCCAAAGGCCTTCCAAGGCCCCCAAGAGGCCCCCAAGATGGCACCAAGATAGCCCCAAGACAAGGATCCCTTGACCCTCCAAAATAACCTCAAGAAGGCCGCGACAAAGCCCCACGAGGACCCTAAGAAGGCCTCCAGTGGACCCCAAGACGGCTGCCAGCTGCCAGAGTCTTCGTCCTCCTCCTCCTCCTCCTCATCCTCCTCCTCCTCGCCTTCGTCCTCTGCCTCCTCGCCCTCCTCCTCCTCCTCCTCCTCCTCCTCCTCCTCCCTCCTCCTCCTCCCTCCTCCTCCTCCCTCCTCCTCCTCCTCCTCCTCTCCTCCTCCTTCCTCCTCCTCCTCCTCCTTTTCCTCCTCCTCCCCTCCTCCTTTTCCTCCTCCTCCTCCTCCTCCTCCTCCTCCTCCTCTCCTCCTCCTCCTCCTCCTCCTCCTCTCCCTCCTTTTCCTCCTCCTCCTCCTCCTCCTCCTCCTCCTCCTCCCTCCTCCTCCTCCCCCTCCTCCTCCTCCTCCTCCTCCTCCTCCTCCTTCCTCCTCCTCCTCCTCCTTTCCTCCTCCTTCCCTCCTCCTCCTCCTCCTCCTTCCTCCTCCTCCTCCCTCCTCTCCTCCTCTCCTCTCCTCCCCTCCTCTCCTCCTCCTCCTCCCTCCTCCTCCTCCTCCTCCTCCTCCTCCTCCTCCTTTTCCTCCTCCTCCTCTTCTCCTCCTCCTCCCTCCTCCTCCTCCTCCTCCTCCTCCTCCTCCTCCTCCTCCTCCTCCTCCTCCTCCTCCTCCTCCTCCTCCTCCTCCTGCTCGTCCTCCTCCTCCTGCTCGTCCCCCCCTACACCTCCTCCTCGTTCCCGTCCTGTCCGTTTCTGGATTGGCTGGTGGGAATACTTTTTTTTACAGCCGCAGGCGGAAGCGCCGGCGGCGAGCAATCACGGTCGGGCTGCGGCCGTGACGAATTCCCGGGCGCGCTCGGGGGCCGCGGATCAGGCGGCGGGGCAAGCAGCAACCCAGGGCGTCTGAGAGGCCAGGCGGTCGTGCAAGCTGCAACCCAGGGAGTCTGAGGGGTCAGTCACCCAGGAAGCAAAGCGGACGCGGCCAAAATGGCGCGCCGTACGTTCCCAGTCATGGTCGTGACAACCGACAACCGCATGGTGGTGGGAACCAGACTCCGTGCGAGAAAGTCAGCCCAGGGGCAAAGAGCTGGTGGGAATACGCGAAGCGTGAAGAATTGAAGAGCAACCCAAAGGTCATCATCCTTAGAAAAATAACGAGGATCCGCGCTCCGACCCTGCCAAGAACCAACCAACTAGCCAGCCAGCCGCCCAGCCACCCAGCCGAATAGCCAGCCAACCAGAAAGCCAGATAGCCAGCCGCGCTGCCAGCCTGCCAGCCAATCAGCCAATCGCCCAACCAATCCAGCCGCGCAGGCAATCAGAAATAGGGCCAGCGGCAATGCTCGCTTCAGGTAACTTCTGGGCTCCCGTGTCCCCCAGCCCTCCCGACAACACTTGGGGGAACCCAGATTCAAGCACAGCCGAGCGAATTTCGCTTCGATCGTCGGCCGCAGGTGGGCGGCGATGGTTCACCGGAGCCGAAGAGGCTTCTTGGAGGGGGCTCGGAGGTTCCCAAGAGGGCCTCCACGAAGAGGGCCTGTCAGAAGCCCGCTGACTCCTCCGAAGGCCATCCCTGTCGCCCCACCCTCTTGCGCACGCCGCTGAAGCGGATCCTGCCTCCCTTTCCTTATGGATACTTCCTCCCTGTCACACACCCAGACGTGTCAGTAGGGCAGGTCAAGCGTTTCGCCCGAGATCTCTTCAGCGACTACGACCCTGCATGATCCTGCTGCACGGATGTAGAGGGGGTGCAGTCATCAGAATGGAGAACTCTCGCCTTAGCCACGCGCACATTCGCTTCAAAAGCTTGCATCAGCTGCATGAGAGGAGTGGGCACGGTCTTCGAATGAGGCTATCGCCTTAGCACCGCACACATTCGCTGAAAGCCATGCAGCAGCTACAAGGATGGAGGGCGGTTCCTTTCCAAGATGGGGTTATCACCATAGCGCCGCGCACATGTGTCTTGAAATATTGCAACACTGCAAGGGTGAGGGCGCTTGGTCCTCAAAATAAGATTTCCGCTGTAGCGGCGACCACATTCGTCTTCAAAGGTTGCAACAAACTACGAGGGCGAAGGGCGGTTGGTTGTCGAAATGAGGCTCTGGCCATAGCGCCGCTCAAAGTCGTCTTGAAAGCTTGGAAAAATGAGAGATTGCAGGAGGGCTCCTTTTCAAAATGCCCGTCTGGCTTGAGACTTCCTCGAGTTTGACAGCCAAAGGGCTGATCATGTGTAACAGCTTCGCAGACGGAGGGCGAGTCCTTTCCAGACCTTTTCGGAGGGGCTCTTGCTTCAGATCTCTTCGAAGTTAGCGGCCAAACATGTAACCTTTTGCAACTTTCACACGGATGGGGAGTCCTCTTCAAAACAGGGCTCGCCGGGCACATCGCTGAACGTTAGAATCCTACATCGCGTTCCTTCTATCTTGCTGGAAGGATGCAAGGCAGTTCCTTTTCAAGACGGGGCTTTCGCCTGAATGGCAGGACAAAAGAGTGCTCGCATTTGAAGGGGGCGCCTCTTGCGGTGAACAAGAAGGCTCGCAGGGACTTGTGAGGAGGTGGCTCGCGGGACGGGAGGGCGATTCGCATCGTGGACGCCTCCTCCTCCCCCCCCCCATAGAAAAAAGCAGGACGGCACACGCACAGACAGTCGGAGGTCCGCGCGCACGTCTTGGGCCGGCGCGGAGCCACCCTCTCCCTGGCGCGCGAGGCGCCGACCCCGGGGGGGGGGGGCCGGGCCCGGCACCGACCCGAGACGTCCGCACGGACCTCCAAAAGCACGTGCCGCACGCTGCTCTCCAGACTCGGACCCGGCGCTGGCTCGCACGGCGGCCGCCTGCCGCTCACGCGCCCAGAGGAAGCCTCCGAAGAGGGGGCCACAGAGCAGAGCGGGGGTTTGGAGGAGCACCACCGCGTCGCCGCTGCACCGATGCACCGGCCGACGCCAGGACGGAGAAGGTCTGACTCCAGACCGCGCCGAATCGCCGATGCGTCGGCGAATGCGCCGCGATCCTCCGATCCCCCACCCCTGCATGCCCTGCGGCCCCGCTTGGGGAGGCCTGGAGCTCTCTCGAAGCTCGAGGGCGGCGTGCGCCGCGGTCGCCGTTGGGCGCGGCCCGCGGGCGCCGCGCTGGCGCCCTGCTCCCAGGCCACCCCTGCCGTCAGGTCCAGCCCGCCGGGCCATCCTGCCACGCCTGCCTGGGGCCCGCCGGCGGGATCTCGATAAACTGGGCGTGGCCGTCGGCGAGGCCGTGCCTGGGGCCGCCAGGCGCGCCCTCTGGCAGGCTCGGCGGGAGCTCGGCGAACCGGTGGGGGCCGTCGGCGAGGCCGCCGCTGGGGGAGGGGTCGGCGAGCCTGGAGCCCGCCGGCGAGGGCGCCGCTGCAGCGCTGGCGTCCGCGTCCGTCCTCCTGTCCGTGACCCGCCTCTTTGCGTGGTGGTTGGCGAACTTCGCCAGCGTCGCGACGAGCACGTCAGGGGAGGGCACGAAGGCGAGCCGCGCGCCGCTCGTCTCACACCACTTGATGAGGGTCTTCGCCAAGCTCGGCTTCTTCTTGTGCGCCTCGGGCGTGATGACAAAGATCACCGCGAGCCGCGAGCACTTCTCCTTCGCCGCGTCCTCCTCCTCCTGCCGCTTCTGCTCCTCCTCGTCCTCCCTGCGCCGCTGCTCCTCCTGCTCCTCCCACGGAGTGAGCTCCGCCGCCGAGGACTCCTGCCCCTGGGCGCCGCCGAAGTCGGCCTCGGAGGCCTCCTCGTCGGGGAGCGGCTGGGGGTTGATCTCCCTGTCCACTTCCGCCTGCCAGCGCTCCATGATGCCGTCGTTGCCGCACATCAGCCTGAGCGTGGTGACCAGCATCGACACGTCACTCATCGTGTCACCGCAGACCAAGTTGGGACCGAGCTCCATTCTGAGATTCAGCTTCTCGTCGAGGCGCATCAGCCCCGTACCCTTGTCGAAGGCCGTGTTCACACCGCGCTCGCCGCTTCGGGGAAAGAGCTCCATGTCCGTGCCCGTGTCGTGCAGGTCGAGGTTGGTGCCGTCGGGATCGAGCTCCTCCTTCAGCTGGCGCACGGCCGCCATGAAGCGGCGGCTGTCGTGGTCGGGGACCGTGCCGTCGGGGTCGTTGCGGGCCATGGTGACCTCCCCGAACTTGCGCTGCAGGCCGGAGCCGATGCCCAAGAACTTGATGTTCATGGGGTCGGCGCAGAGCGCCAGGAGGCGCCGGTGGAGCTCCTCGACGAGCTCCCGCTGCTCGTTGGGCAGCACGTCCGCCTCCAGGACCCGCTGCTTGGTGCTGCTGAAATACTCGCGGCCCTTCGAGCCCGTGTAGGTGAAGATCCCGCGGGGCGCGACGTCCAGCTCCAGCAGCCCCTCCGCGCTGGGGCGCCCGCCCAGCGGGGCGGCGGTGATGAAGGTCGCGTTCGCCGTGCACTCCTGGGCGAAGTGGCCGAGCCACGCCGCGTTGTAGGCGGACTGCACGCTCGAAGAGTAGCGGGCGCAATAGTTGTTCGTAGTGCCGTCGCGGTCCGTGACCAGGTTCCGGAAGGGTGGCTCGTCGCTGCGGCAGGGCGACTCGTCACAGGGCATCGACTTGACAGCGTCGAGCACCGACAGCGCATTGTCGCAGACTTCGTCCCAGTGGGGCACGACTCCGCCGCTCTGCGGTCGATCCACCCAATCGTTACTCGTCGCCCTGGCTTTGACATTCAGCACCGCCGTCTCCACCCAGTCCTTGCTCGCGAGCTTTTCCTCGTGGTGCTGCTTGAGCCGCTCGAGGAGGGCGGCCTCGCCGTCGGTGAAGCGGAACGAGGTCCAGCCGGCCCCGTTGAGCTTGAGCTCTCCGGAGTCCCTGAAGGAGATCTGGACTTTCTGCTCCGACTGTGGAGGCTCCTCCCCTTGGAAGGTGAAGCCCTTGCAGCCTGGGATCCACGGGCAGAGGGCCTTCGCCTCCTGCACCGTCATCCACCGAGGGCCCAAGTCTCCTGAGCCGTCGTCTGGTCGCAGCAGGTCGTTCCCGCCGAGCTGGCCCTCGTGTCTCTGCAGGTCGCCCTCGAGGAACAGGATGTCCCTCTGCAGCTCCTCCTTCTCGTAGCTCAGCATCACCCGGGCGTCCGTGGTGGCGTCCACCCGAAGCACGTGGAGGTGGTGATCATCGCCGTTCCGCCAGCTGGCTGGCCGGGGAACCGACTCGAGCCTGAACAGCGCGTTCCTCAGCACCTTGATCTCCTGGGTCGCCTGCTTCACGTCCTCGTCACTCGCCAGGATGTCGGCCGCGTGCTCGTCGCTCTCGGAGAACAGCCGGCGGAGCACCTCGACGCGAGTGAAGCGGGTGCGGCGCATTAAGCCGTAAAACCCGCCCGAGCTGCCGTCGGGGCTCCCGAGATCTGTGAGGGCGTGCTGCACGTGGACCTCGTGCCAGGGCAGGGCCTTTAGCTCGACCCCCTCGTTGCCCTCGTTGCAGTGCACCAGGAACTTCGGCTCGTCCCTCACCGTGTCGTGGTAGAGCTGCGAGAGCTCGCTCTCCTTGGCGATCTGGCCCTGCACCAGAATCTGCACCCTCCCGGGCGTGAGCGTGAAGCGGGTCCAGCGCTTCCCCAGCGCCACGTTGAAGCGGAGACAGTCGCAGGCGGGGGGGACCTGCGGCATCACCTTGATCACGGGCGGGTAGCGGGGGTCGTGCACGACCACCCGCCCGGTCACCAAGACGCTGGGACGATCATTCTCCTGCGCCTCGGAGGCGACGCAGAGGTCGGCGAAAGCCGCCTGGAAAAGCTGCCTCACGAGGTCGGGAACGTTCCTCGCCCGCTTGGCGGGCGCGTCCTCCTGCAAGGTGGCTTGGCCCTGGGCCGGGCCCCGCGAGACCTGGTGGAAGCGGAATAGGCGCACCGCGCGTTGGCATCGCATGGCCTTCCTGCTGCCGGAGATCTCTATGTCCTTCCTGTCCCACTCCGCGCGCCAGGCCAGCCGGTGCTCCTCCTCCAGCTCCATGAGCAGCGGCGGTGGCCCGTGGGTGTCCTGCGCCTGGCCGCTGTCCTCTGGGATGGAGGACGCCATCCGGGCGCGAGTTGGCCTTCTACGAAATATCCGTTCCAGTCCGCCACCGCTCCTGAAGCGGTTGGTATTTGTCTGTGCGCGCGTCTCCGGCCCCTGCTTTCCTCGTTCCTGTGGATTTTCCCGAAGCGACAGCTGGATTCCCACAACTCGTCGAGCCCAACACGCGTTGATCTGTTGGACGCTGCGCCGAAATCAGAGCCCAGGTGCGAGAACTTCCCTGCCCTCCCCCCCTCCCACGGGCGCCCCCCCGCCTCCCCCCTCCCGAGCCCCCCTCCCCAGGCGCCCGCCCGAACGCGGCGGCGGACGCGCGCGGCAGCGCAGCTGGATTTCGTCGTCGGCATGCCTTGCATGATCCCGACGCCGTCGACTTTCACGTCGATCTTGACAACCTTCTCCACCGTGTAGCGGGTACCCTTCCGCGGGTTGGAGACGATAATGTCGATCGCTGGGCCCTCGGCCAACCCGCCGAGGTGCGGCTTGACGCTCACCGTTACGCCCCCGTCGGATGCGAGACCAGACCGGTTGTCCAGCATCTCCACAGGGAGCCGTACGTCACCGCGACCGTCGTCCTTTAGCACCCTATGCCAGGCCTTCACCTGGATCGAGCGCGGAGGGCCATCACCGTCCTTCTTGTCCTCCCTGTATGTGGCGACTAGCACCACCTCGTTGTTCGTCACCTCCGGAACCTCTTTCTCGAGCATGTAACCGTCGGGGATGTCGTCCGTGCGCAGGCTCGAGCTGACGCAGATGTGCAGGTTGTCCTTCTTCCCCTTCTCGAGGAGCACCACGCAAAGCTCGGTGGCCGCGTGGCCCTCCCGTGCCCGGCTTACGAAGCGCTTGCTGCTGATGCGGGCGTGCAGGCCCCAGTCTGCGTCCTTCACCTCTATGGTATGGTTCACCTGGGCCACGCCAGCGTCCAGCGAATGGCAGTACTGCGTCACCTGCTTGCTGCACATGTCGCGTTCGACGTATTTCGGCTCGTGCCTCCGGTTATTCCACTGGTACCCGTTCTGCCACATGTACTTCGGCTCCAGTGGCGTCCAATCTGCGCACGGGATCGTCGTGGTATCGACAAGGGCCGTGCACGCAGGGATCCTATCCCCTTCACACGTCCACCTATCCCAGGGCGGGTGACCCAGCGCCGACATGCTGCTGCTCGCGACCCGGGTCATCTCAGCGCGGTCGCGGAGGCTACTTCCTGGAATTCCGAAGATGGCAGGCGAAGATGGGCGCTGGAGCCAGAGGCAGGTGCACCAGAGCTTCTCTGTGAACACCTTGTGCAGCCAGGCCAGTTGCCGCGCTGAGGGGAACTCCTGCACCGCCACGTCTGCCCCTGCGGTCACCACGCGCTTGTCGTCCGTGGAGGCTCTTCTGCACACCGAGGTCTGGCTCGAGGATATCACCAGGCCCGCGTTCGCGCGGGCGAACGCGCAGGCCCCCTCCTCGCTGCTTGCAAAGCACAGCGCCTCCTGCGGCGTGATGGCGCAGTCCGCCCAGTACCTCTGCAGGGCACTCTCGTGGACGCTGTCGTGCACATCGGTGTCCTCAGGGGTGAGGACCTTTAGGGCGACGAAATCTATACATATCCACTGCTCCCTGGCCAGGCCCATCCTCAACCCGGCAGCGGTGTATACGCCACGCCCTCCTGGCTTGGCCAGGAGGGCGCATACACAGCTCCTGGGTTCAGGATGGGCCTGGCCAGGGAGCAGTGGATATGTATAGATTTCGTCGCCCGAACCTTGTTGAAGACGGCGTCGAACCACTGCCTGTTGAGCCCCGGGTGGTCGCCGTTCTGCCTCTCCCTCGTGTCCCCGGCGTGCAGGCGGATCTGCGCGAGCACGAGCTTGACGCCGTGCTCCCGCAGCTCGTGCAGCAGCGCGGGCGAGGGGCCGCCCCTGGCGTCCGCCGACTCCAGCACGAGGCAGGCAAAGGGCAGGCTCTTCGGGGGGCCCTCGCTGGGAGACGGCGGGTGGGTCCGCGACACTGGTGGCTCATAGCTGTGGATGTCAGTGGGCTCAAGCATGACACCCCCGAACTTTCAGGCCAAAAATGCTCGGGCCGCAACAGATGCGTCGGAGCGCGGCGCTTCGGAAACGGAGCGACTGCGAGGTGGGCCCTGGTGGACCTCCGAAAGGATCCGAGAGGTTCTCAACAGCCGACAAGACGGGCCAGGAGGCCTCAGAGAGGCCTCGAAGACGGCTCCGAAGCCGAAAATTCTTCGGCGCCAGAGGGATAGCTTTCCGCGCCACAGTTACGGGCCCCCGAGCTCTTCGGTCTTCTTAGAGTTCTGTCGGTGCTCTTGGGGAGTCTCGAGGTCCTCTCGGGGCAGCTCGGGCCTCCTGGAGCCCGCCTGGGGCTGCTTGGGGCAACACAGCGGATCGGCCAGTTCAGGGCCCCTTCGGCAGGCCTCCGGCGGCCTCCACACGCCTCCGCAAGCCTCCAGAGGCCAAGAAAGGATCCCAAACACTCAACAAACTCCATCCCCGATCCCCAGGGAGCAAGAGGAGGAGGAGGACGACGACAAGCCCCGTTCCACGACGTCGCAATATTGCTCGCAACGTAGGCCCCCAGAGGTCTCGACCACGTCACGGGCACCGCTTTTTCATCCCAGGTCGTTCTTTGGTGGCCCCGCAGGCCCTGTAATGAAGGCCCCCAGAATCCGAAAACAATCAAAAACCGTCCGTCGCAATTCGCCGGCACTCACGGCCACAAAGATCGCTCCAGAAGCGTTCAACGGGGCATGCAGGAGAGCCCAAGAGGGTCCGACTCGTTCATAGTTTGTCTTGGGCTTCGAAGGATTAGAAAGATCTGGCCTTTTTGACCTTCCGTCGCTCCAGAACGACCCAAGAGGCCCCAAAGATCGAACCAAGACGGCCCAAGGGGCCCCCAAGAGGGACCCAGGACGGCTCACGAGCGCCCCGAGAAGGCCCAAGAGGCCACCCAAGAGGGTTCAAGAGCTCGCAAGAGGGGCCCAAGAGGGGGAACCCGAAGTGATATTTCCAGTCTTTCCCCCAAAGATGGTCTCCGAGTCTGCCAGAAGTTCCCAAGAGCCCCCCCAAGAGGCCCCACGAGTCCACGAGGCCCCAGGAGGCCCCACAAATGCCCACCGAGCGCGCAGGCACTGCCAGCGATGCTGCAGTAAGGGCCGGAGGAATGAGCAAAGCTATTGAATTTCTTCACGCCGCAAGGGGTTGGGGGGAAGAGGGCCAGAACGAGCAAAAAACGTCCACAACATCCATCCTCGATCACCGAAGATGAGGGAGAAGGAGGAGGAGAAGGAGGAGAAGGAGGAGAAGGAGAAGGAGAAGGAGAAGGAGAAGGAGAAGGAGAAGGAGAAGGAGAAGGAGAAGGAGAAGGAGAAGGAGAAGGAGAAGGAGAAGGAGGAGAAGGAGGAAAAATGAAGAAGATCGACCAGTGAAAGGGGGCGCGTGGTTGCGGACAAGCCGCGGCTTAGACAAAGGCTCCCTGATCTCTCATTGTGGTGACTCCTTCGACCGATACGAGTGCGGAGGGGCCGAACTGGGTCACCTAAGGGCCACGGCCTAGCCGCAACATCCAAGGAATAGCTGGAGGAGGGGGCCCAGAGATACGATATCTTGAATCTGACTACCTACAAAACCACCACAACCCAACCAGGAGACCCAAGTTTCGGGTTTGGGGGTACGGGTTCCACGTGAGTTTTTTCGACGCTCCCCGACAACACACCCACTGGAAATCGATGGTAAATTTGGACATTCGGGTTGGGTTGGAGTGGTTTGGTGGGTGGCGAGAATCTGCTCCACACGGGGGCCCCTGAAATCCTGGCCCCTTCCCCAGGGACGGCTCCGAGCCGTTCTCTTGAAGGCGCGGGGGCCTGGCGAGGACCCACAGGCGGCCGCAAGCTGCGACTGAGCTCCGCGCGGAGCTCAGCGAAGCGGCCTGGGAGGAGGAGGAGGAGGAGGAGGAGGAGGAGGAGGAGAAGGAGGACGAGGACGAGGAGGAGGAGGAGGAGAAGGAGGAGAAGGAGGAGGGGGGAGGAGGAGGACGACGAGGAGGGGGAGGAGGAGAAAGAGGAGGAAGAGGAGGATCGGACAGAATGATGACTCCACTGACGGGCACGGCTAGGCAGGGGGCAAGGGGAGGGGAGGGGGGAAGGGGGGGGGAGGGAGGGGAGGGAGGGGAGGGGAGAGGAGGGGAGGGGAGGGGAGGCGGCGCCCTCCCCAAGACGCGAGGCCGCGCGTCGGAACAAACGGCGCGGCGACACATCGAATCGGATCGATGGGATCGAAGTGGGCCCTATGGTCCGGGGAGGACCCCCTCCTCCCGCCCGTTCCTGCCCGCCCGTTCCTGCCCGTTCCGCCCGTTCCTGCTCCCGCCCGTTCCTGCCCTCCTCCCGCCCGTTCCTGCCCTTGCGCCCGTTCCCGCCCCTGGGAGGACCCCCTCCTCCCAGGGGCGCCTGCGCCTGCTCCCGCCCGTTCCTGCCCCTGGGAGGACCCCCTCCTCCCGCCCGTTGCTGCCCTTGCGCAGGCCCCGGCGGCGCACGGGCGGGGCCCGCCTGCACCGGCGCGCCGAAGCCCATCGCGCTGCCAGGCATCGCTCGGTAGGACGGCACGTTGACGCCTCGGCTGCGTCCACCCCCCACCCCCCGGACCTCCAGCGCAGCGAGGAGAGCGGGGGAAGGCAGGGGGGAGGAGGGAGGGAGGAGGGAGAGAGGAGGAGAGAGGGAGGAGGAGGAAGGACGGAGGACGGAAAGGAATAAACAAACAAGCAAGCAAACAAACAAACAAACAAACAAACAAACACTTGATCTATACATATAATATATGATATGTATACATACGATTTGTTTTAATATATAATATATATATATATATATATATATATGACACATAGGTTAAAAATACATAAAGAAATACGCAACTAAATAAATACATACATACATAAAAAGATAGATACATAAATAAATAAATAAATAAATAAATAAATAAATAAATAAATAAATAAATAAATACACAAATAAATACATAAATAACCCACACACACACACACACTTTTCCGTCGGCGGCTAGACAGCGTGACTGCGCTGGCGGATGGGGCACGTGTAGGGCATACAATTGCTAATCAAGCCGCGATGCACGCGTGGAGGAGGGGGAAGGCGCGGGCTGGAGGGAGACGGAAGCTCGGCCCGCTCAGAGCGGGGCCAGGCCGCGGCGGGGGGGCGCCGGGGCGGCGGGGCGGCACCCGCGGGGCGGCCGGGGGCGGGCAGCACCCAGGGGCGGCCGCGCGAGGCGGGGGGGAACAGGCCTGAGCAGTGCTGGGGTTGGGCGGCACAACAAGGCGGCCGAGCGCCGAGATCGAGCCGACCTTCCAGGTGACAGAGCAGCCGGAGAAGACCACCTAAGGAGAGGGGCCAGGGGGTAGCTGGGAAGGGCCCAGCAGGCGAAGCGAGAAGAAGCGCCGAGATCCAGGGACCTGCGAGGCGCCAGAGGGCGGGCGGCCCGGGCACCCTGTGGTTAGGGACCGCGGGGGGGCAAAGCAGAGAGCGAGCAGGCCCACTGGCGAAGCCGGCGCGAGGACCGCCGGCCGGCCTGAAAACCAGGCAAAGGGGGAGGGCCGGCCCGGGGGGCGGCCAAGGCCAGCCAGCACCCAGAACTAGGGAAGGCCAGGCAGACAGGGTGGAGGCCACGGGCAAAGCCTGCCCAAAACCCTGCAGAAGGCCGGCGATCCGCCCTGCCGGGGCGGGGGACGCAAACGCGGAGCAGAGGCCTCCACCCGGACAGAGGGGAGCGGCAGCCCCAAGGACAAGCGGGCTCTTTTTCCCCCACGATCAGCGGGGACGAAAGACGGTTTCTCCGTTCCTCGCGCCGCTCTCCTCAGAGCAGCCCAGCGAGCTACAAGGCGCGAAAAATTAAGACCCACGCTACGACGCCCACCTCGCACCCCACCTCCTGGAACCACATTATTCCCACACCCTCTTCCCCTCGCGCGCGCCTCTTTATACCACATTATCCCACCGCCTTCTTGAACCACACCTCCCATCTCAAAGCCCATCTCTCGCAGGTGTCGACTCCGTCCCGCCGCCACTGCCACCCCTCCTCGCTCTTCCCACCGTGCTGCCACTGCGACCACGACCCGCTTCCAACGTCATCCTCCCTCGCGCGTGCTCGTCGCAGCGTTGGAGCGGTTGAAGGAGGGCTGATGGGGGCCGCGGGAGTCGCACTGGCACTGCTGGAGTGGGTCGGCGGTTAGTCGCGGTGCTGTTGAAGTTGGTGGTGGAGCTGATGGTGTCGGTCAGGTGCTGCTGGAGTCGGCCGTGGTGCAGTTGTGGTTGGTGCTGATGCTGCTGGAGTCGCGCTGGTGCTGCTGGAGTGGGTCGGCGGTTGGTCGTGGTGCTGCTGGAATTGGTGGCGGCGTTGTTGGTGTCGGCCAGGTGCTGCTGGAGTCGATCGGGGTGCAGCTGGGGTTAAAGCTGGTGCTGCTGGAGTCGCATGGGCGCTGCTGGAATGGGTCGCTGATTGGTCGCGGCGATGCTGGAGTCGGCGGCAGCGCTGTTGGTGCTGGTCAGGTTTTGCTGAAGCCGGTCGTGGTGCAGCTGGGGCTACTGCTGGTGATGCTGGAGTCGCACTGGTACTGCTGGAGCGCGTCGGTGATTGGCCGTGGTGCTGCTGGAGTTGGTGGTGGACCTGCTGGCGCTGGTCCGGCGCTGCTGGGGTCGGTCGCGGTGCAGCAGGAGTATGTATTGATGCTGCTGGAATCGCACTGGTGCTGCTGGAGTGGGTCGCTGGTTGGTCGCGGTGCTGCTGGAGTTGGTGGGGGAGCTGCTGGCGTCGGTCAGGTGCAGCTGGAGAAGGTCGCGGCGCAACTGATGTTTGTGCTGATGCTGCTGGGGTCGCACTGGTGCTGCTGGAGTGCGTCGGTGGTTGGTCGTGGTGCTGCTGGAGTTGGTGCCGGCCAGGTGCCTCTGGAGTCGGCCGTGGCGTGGCAATGGTTGGTTTTGGTGCTGCTAGAGTCGCGCTGGTGCTGCTGGATGCGCACTGGTGCTGC